AAGATTTTTCCTGTCTTTTAGTAGCTTAATGGCTTACTCATTTTTATCAGTGGGTCATATTCCGTTGGGTCCATGTAACGGTGTGGGTTGGTGCACTCATCACCTGAAGAGCATCTCAGCTGCTGCCAGTTCAGGCAACTATGAATACACGTGCCCTCATTCTTGTGTAGATTTTGTAATGGGCATAATTTTAAAATTTAACTGGGTAAATGTTTAGGATTTTAATCAGTTGTTTATATAGTATGACTATGTTTTCCTTTGTAAGAATTAGAATTCAGTAAAGGCACCAGGGTATTTGTTTTTAAGTTTTTATTGATTCAACTTCTATATTATAATAGATGTAAGCCTACTCAGATTATCTGACTCCGCTTTGGGTAATTATGATATAGTTTCTGCCTTTGGAGGAATTTGTCATTTTCATCTAAGCTGTCAAATTTGTGAGCATAGATTTATTCTAAGTATTCTTTATTACGTGCTTGATATTAATGGGATCAGCAGGAATCATTCCTTTTTTTATTTATATTATTTGTAAATTGTGTCTTCTAGCTTTTCTTTGTGGTGAGCCTGGCTGGAGGATTATCAATTCTATTTATTTTTTCTATGAAGCAGCTCTTGGTTTTGTTTAGTTCTGGTTTATTATTTCTATTATAACGATTTCTGCGAATTTTTTTTTTCTATTTTTATGTCTATAGTTTTTCTCTAGTTTCCTAAGGTGGAAGGTAAGCAAACTGAATTGAGATTGGTTTTAGTTTTTTTTTTTTTCTTTCTTGTTTCTTGTTTCTTTTCTTTTTAAGACTGAGTCTTGCTCTGTCTCCAAGGTTGGAGTGCAGTGGCATGATGTCAGCTCAATGCAACCTCTGCCTCCCAGGTTCAAGTGATTCTCCTGTCTCATCCTCCCGAGAAGCTGGGATTGCAGGTGACTGCAACATGGCCTGGCTAATTTTTGTATTTTTAGTAGAGATGCGTTTTCACCATGTTGGTCAGGCTTGTCTTAAACTCCTGACCTCAGGTGATTTACCCACCTCGGCCTCCCAAAGTGCTGGGAAAACAGACATGAGCCAACATGCCCAGCCTGTTTTTAGTTTTCTACACAGCATTGTGAACTAATGCCACTAAAGTGTGCATTTAACAATTAATATATATTGTGTATTTTTCACCACAGTGATTTAGATGATAAGTGCAAAAGGAGCATATATAGATTCAGGAACGTCAAACATTATAACTTTTTTTCTAAAGAATATACTTACCAGGCCTTTTTCTGTGAGGATCCTGTCCTGGAGTCATGTGGTGCACTTGTGTGCTGCCTAGGTGAACACTGCCTACTTCACAGTGATCAGGGTGGCTTAGCCAGAGACCCGAGGTTCTGTCCCCCAGGGCTCTCCTGATGGTGTCCTTTGCCTTCCTTCACCACCAAGGAGGGTAGCTCAGCAGCAGCTCAGCCCCTGCTCTTACTCCACCTCCTCTGCACACGCGAGCCCTGTGTCCTCAGTACCGAGGGCTGCCAGAGGGCCTTCAGCAGTTCCCATGGCTGACAGTGACTCTATGTTTCCTAGATTATCCAATAAATTGGAAGGAGTTCGCTCATCCAAACTCCTGGCAACTTACTAAGGCTGATCACTCCTTAAGTAAGTCTTCTTTCTTTGTCTGAGACTCTGTGTTTCCTAGATTATCCAATAAATTGGAAGGAGTTCGCTCATCCAAATTCCTGGCAACTTACTAAGGCTGATCACTCCTTAAGTAAGTCTTCTTTCTTTGTCTGAGATGGGAATTTTTTTCTTTTTCTTTCTTTTGAATTAAGATATACAAATCTTACCATAAACATTATAGATGAGTCACAGAATTTCCTGGTGGGCAAAGGTGTGTGAGTGTCCATTACCAACTTGAAACTTGTTCCAGATGGCACCAGAGAGGACAGCTTCACTGACAAACTGCATGGCAGAGAGCAATTTTTTCAGGAGAAATGCATTCTTCTGGAATATAGCTGTGACTTTGCAACAAAATCATTTCACAAATCTTATGCAAAACTCTGTGCCTTTCCACAAGTGTCCTCTAGGCTTTATTTGGGGGCCATTACCTTGACAACTATTTCCCAACTGGTTTTCTAATGTCACCAAGTGAAGAAAAGACCCATGCACATCCGCACCCAATCTCCTCTCATGATGTAGGCCTCACCTTCCATTCCAGCTGCTGCTCTCTGAACTGCCATTTCACACTGTACTGGCCAGGAGACTACTGGTGAAGACGGGAGGGAGCCTTTGCTCCTGCCTTGAAGGTATGCTTATTTCCATCTTCTCACTGCAGTTTCTTCACATGGGCCACTTGTGCATAAAATGTCTTTCTGATTTTATTTTCCCAACTCCAGTTTACATACAGATGTACACATTTTAGAGCTTTATGACTCCATTTGTATTCTCGATTTTTCTCTCAAGATTTTTGCCTTAAATATTTCCCTCTATGTTCTGTTTCCCGTGCCAATTTTATGCACACTTTTCCATAGGAAGGAACACGACAACCCTGCCGTCATCAAATGGGGAGAATCTTGATACCAAGTGCAGTATGAGACAGCCCATGAGAGGGGATTACAGACCAAAGTCTTCTGAATCGAGACATCCAAATCTGAAACCAAATATTAGAGCAGACTAAATAGAGATTTCTAAAAACAAAAACAAGTTATTTCATGATTTGAAACAGAATATGGCGTAATTTAAAGGTTTTGGGGATTGTTTTAAAGAAAAATTTAAAGCATAAATACAACTAAGTGAATATAAACAGTTATAAAATAGAACAATTATGAAGTTATAAAAGGCTTATGAAACTCTTGTAAGAGTTTTGCCATGTTGGCCACGCTGGTCTTGAACTCCTGACCTCAGGTGATCGCCCAACTCAGTCTCCCAAAGTGCCAGGATTACAGGCGTGAGCCACTCTGCCCGGCCTTATAACCTCATAATCTGTAATCCCAATCAAAACAGATTGGAATAGATTTGTTTTATAAACAAATCTTATAGATTTTATTAAAGATCTTATAAACATACACTAATATAAAACTCAGATTTTGGTCAAAAAGTAAGCTATTCTTATGATATTAATTTGTTCTCAATGAGAATATAAGAGGTAACAATTTTGTATTCTGAAATATATTTCTTTTTAAAATGTCTCAGACTTATGCCTTTTGACTTTTACTGTGTCTCTTTGCATGTAATTTACATGTCCCACATGGATGCCTTCTGTTTCTTTTTTCCTGGGAAAGATATATCTTTACTCTTGGCTGGGATAAGAACTCTCCCCCTTTTTTTTTTTTTTTTTTTTTTTTTAGACGGAGTCTCCCTTTCTCGCCCAGGCTGAATGAAGTGCAATGGCACAATCTTGGCTCACGACTCACTGCAACCTCCACCTCCAGGGTTCAGGTGATTCTCCTGCCTCAGCCTCCTGAGTAGCTGGGAGTATAGGCACCAACCACCACGCCCAGCTAGTTTTGTTTTTGTTTTGTGGAGATGGAGTTTCACTCCATCTGTTGGCCAGGCTGGTTTTGTACTCCTGACCCCAAGTGAACACCCGCCTCGGCCTCCCAAAGTGCTGGGATTACAGACATGAACCTCCACACCCAACCTCTCCTTCAAGTTTTCATCAGCTCCTTCAACTTCCCCCCAGGTTCTGATTCTGTCACTGTAATACCAAAATGCTTGCCTTTAAGGTCTAAAAAGCCAGTATTTGTCTCAGCTGTGCATGGTTTTGTGCTCTTGGCTTTTGCTGTGTCTGGGTTGTCTCCTGTGAGCAGGCGAGGAGCTCGCTTTCTGCTCATAGCCCTCTTCCTCACTGCACCTGCTCATGGCCTGGGGCACACTTTACCTGTGTCTCATTAACCTCGAGGGCCCTGCTCCTCGGCGTGGCTTCCAGTCATTCAGTGGTCTTCATTGAGGTGCTGCCCACTCTCAGGCAGGCCTCGGTGCAGCCTGCTCAGTTAGCTGCTCAGGTCAGCCGTCAGCAAGATGGATGGGTCCCAGATTTAATTCATCAAACCACTGATACACCAGCCCCGATGACTTCCATTAGCTGCCCATGCAGGCACAGCCTATAAGTGGCAGTTGGCTTGGAATGTCCTGAGTTCTTAGCCAGCTTGGGGGCCAGCTGTTAAGTGGCAGTTGGCTTGGAATGTCCTGAGTTCTGAGCCAGCTTGGGGGCCAGCTGTTAAGTGGCAGTTGGCTTGGAATGTCCTAAGTTCTGAGCCAGCTTGGGGGCCAAGCAGACCCCTGGTCCCTCAGGGTGGTCACTGGTCATGTGCTCACTGCAAAGCAAGGTCAGGGGCTGGAGGTTTCTGTTTGAATGACTGGAGCTCTTCTCTGGACTTACCCACCTCCTGGCACCCACCTTCCTGAAGAGATCTTGGGGAGGAGGATTGAGAAAGGGAGTGAAAAGGGCTTCTGGTTCAGGATCCAGGCCGGGATTTAGAGGTCTCAGGTGTTCAGGGACCTCTGTGCCCAGAAAATAGTCTACATTCTTGTCCCAGATCCTTCACTTCTGAGTGCTGTGACTCTGGGCAGGTCACTTCAAATCCCTCATTTCACTTCCCTGAGCTGTCAACTGTGGGTGGTGGCCCCTGCCCTGCCCATTCCTCCAGGCTGATGTGGGCACCACAGAAAATAACAGAAACCCTCTCCAAGGCTCTAAAGCATCAGGCCCA